TGGCCTGACTTTACTGTTATGGTCTTCATAACAGTATTTAAGTATAAACCACCCTTTTAGAAACCATTGGGCTAAATATAAGCTAATCTCCAGATTCTGAACTCTTGTGTTCTCTCCCTGAACATAATCTCCTTATCTTGACCTTTTCCAGAACAACCCTCATGCTATCTATAAGCTTCATTTTTATGACCTTCCAATTCTCAGTTTTTTTCCTATATTCCCTGTCTATTAATTCACCTTTGTGTTTCATATATGCCTTTTCATCTTACACTCTGTGTTCAGTGATCATACCAGCCCTAAACATGAGCTTGCATGTACTTAGTGCTCTACTAAGTATTAGACACTATGGAAAAGCTTTACAGCAGGGATTTGACAAAGTGTGATTCTCCAGACCAATGGAGTAGTATCACTGGGAAATTTGCTAGATATACACATTTCTATATACACATTTCTAAGACTCATCTAATATTTACCAAATCAGTAACTGTAGGGGAAGGAGCCCAGCAATCTGTGTCTTTACACATTTCCCAGGTGATTCTGATGGATACTCTCGTTTGCAAACCTCTGTTCTACTTATTAACTTATTATAACAGTCTAAAACTGAAGGGTCCATAAGCTTATTTCAGCTGTATAGAAGAGGAATCTAAGCTCAGAGAGATTAAGGAAATTGTGTAAATTCTCCCAAACTGCACTGGCAACCTGGTGAGTCAGAGAGAGTCCAATCTTTCAAGCTCCACAGCATGAAATTTCATTTTTCTTTGATCTTACATGATCTCCATTTTGTTGATTATTAAGCACAGGTCAACCATGCCATACTTGTTTCTGTAGTGGTGTCTTTGAATATTTTCAAAGGGTAATAAATAAAAATGCATGGTGACATCATTATAGTAAATGTACTAATTTTGTACGAGGCAGGTTCCCCCAAGGTGGCATGGCTTGACGACCTTCCCAGGTCTCAGATTCACTGGGATCTTCCTATTAAATTTTATTGAAAATATTCTCTAGATTTTCTTGATCCTCCCTGATGGTGTAGAGTTTAAGTTTCAGTGTTGTCATCATCCCTGTGGCCTGTGTCCAATTCTCAGCCAGGGGAGTGACCCACAAGGCACAGCAGACTTGTCCTGTACACCTGCTGCTCCCCTCAGCAATGTATTTCAGTAGATCCTCCTGTTCTTCTCCCTATTCTGTGTCTGGTGGAGTCTGTCACCTCCTGCACCTCTGGCCTGTACCCCAGTTCCTGTATGCATACATGTATAAAATAAATCATTAAAAATTTTATTCTCTAGATTTTCTTTCTCAAAGTGCTATTTCATGATGATCCAGAGAGGCAGTGGGAGGCCCATCTTTGTTTCTTGGAAACACAGGACAAAATAATGTGAGCATTTCCCTCTTCCTGCATTCCACTTGAGAAGCTTAGCACATCTTGCTTATACTTCTTCACACTTACATCCAAGGAACAGGTGACCCTTTGTTCTGCTAAGATTGATTACTTGTAATTGTGGCCCACTAGTTCTGTTTCTCTTTTCAGACATTGTTCAGTCAACCCTCCTCTTCTCTTACTTGGAAGTTCTGCCCCACACATTGGCCCCACAACCCTCTCACCAAGTACATTTGAACTTTCCTTTTTCTAAAAAAAGATCAACTTTCCTCAATTTATTGCAGCCCTCAACCCCCAGTCTCCCTTTTTCATTTTTGGTTCATCATCAAATTTCTTACAGGAATAATCTGGCATTCTCCCACGCATAATAGTGATGTCCTTCCAGTGCAGTGATTCCTCCAATACAAACAACTCTTTACAGCCTCCTCCAAAATGAAAGTAAAAGCTTCCTCAATTTGAGCTAGTGTTTCCCCTTTATAATCTCTCCTGGACCTGTGGCCAACATCTGTCTCTATAACTAATCTTTTTCGTGACTTGATTTTCATGACATTGAAATACTAGAGCCACTTAGTTTTGTGTTCCCCTCATTGGGGTTGTGCTGTCATGTCTTTTTTTCTTTCTAGATTGCTAATTGTTCAGTCAGTGGACATTGTTAGAGCCTACTGCATGCATGCCAAACAGTTCTGTAACAGTGACACAATATACGCGGTCCCATTTTCTCAGACCATACGTATTAGTTAAAAAAAAAAAAAAGTGAATAAATAGACAGTCTTCTTCTCTCACTTCATTCTCACTCCTGCTTCACTCAGAGGTTTCTGTTCAGGTGTTGCAGATGATGATTCTAATGGACAGGGTTTCTGAGGAGATGGCTCCAAGCTTCTGTTCTAAAGAATTTGTGCTTTATTCTCTATTCCACCTCATAACCTCAACTTAACTCCAACAACTTACCCAACAACTTAACTCCCTGTATGTGCCCAGGGCTCTCAAACCCAAGAGCAAACAGCTCTAAACCAGAACACATTTTTTTTTTAAAGATTTATTTATTTATTTATTCATACAGAACTTGGGTACAGGCCAGAAATGCGGAGGGAGCAGCGGGCGGGCCAAAAGAGGTCTGCTGCGCCATGTGGTCACCTCCGGGGCAGGCAGGAATCGAACTCATGCAGAAGTGGCTTTAGCTTCTTAGTGCTGTGCTTTAACCCGCTGCGCCACGAGGGAGGGCCCCAGAACACATTTTTGCAGAGCAAGGTGTTAATTTTCACTATGTAGATGCACCAACCTAAACATCTCCCCAAAAGAGGATAGCCTTCCCCAAGCAACATGAGAAGAAATCCAGCAACTGTAAATTTCGTTCTTAACTTCTCGAATCTTAATGGTACCTCTCCCCCCCTTTTCTTAGTCCTCCAGGCAGGAAATGTTAGAAAAACCTTGAACAAGCTCCTCTTTTCTACATCATTGCTACATATTGCTAATCAAACATAGCCTTTGAACATACTTACATTTCATTTCTTTGCAACAATTATCCTTGCTCCTAACTCAGATCTCTTATTTTCAGCTCCTGCCCTTAAGTACTTTGTATATCTTCATTGTTGTCTGGACTAGGTCACCCTATTAACCTTTTAAATTAGATCAGTGTTTTTGATCAGGTGAACCCTTTCTCAATACTTGTAATGTGTAGCAAACACTGTTCAAGCAGCATCCGGAGCCTCAGCCAATCCCGTAGCCATTCCTTACACTCTTTTCCATATACTGTATGTTTTGGGCAAAAGGCTCACTGGTCATTTTTTTCTACCCTCACCCTTTTACTGTAACTGGTCATTTTTTCTACCCTCATCCTTTTACTGCCCCTGCTGGATGGAATCATACCACATTTAAAGGTTTATGTAGAATGAGCTCCCTTCCATGAAACTTCTTTAGACCTCACTACCTTTTGAATTCTCTGTGGTAATGGGTGTGCTACAACCTTACTGGACTGGGGGCAGCCTACTGTTGTCAAATTGCTCCTTGAAAGTGGTGATAGGTTCTGTTCATTCCTAAAAAAATCTTTTACTCTGGTAAAGTCTCATTAATACTTAGTGAATTGGTAGGGAGAGATGAGTGTTTCAATCCAGATGAAAGCATGCAGGGAGAGAAACAGAGAGATCAAGCCAGTTACCATAGTCACGCTACATCAAAACACAACATATCTTTCATACATTGGTTATATTTTTTCTTTTTGTTTCTTTGTTCCTGGCATTTGCTCTTCTTGTTTTGCTTTATTTATTAGCTTGATAAGCAAATTTCCCCTTGATATTACACACTTGAACGACACTACATATCTGCGAAACTTAACAACTGGCTCAGAGATATTTATTACATCTTGGACACTGTTACTGAGCGTTTTCTGTACACATGCGTCTCTGTGGATCGGTTACTGTTGAGTACATTTTAGGAGAACATGTAGAAAGTGGCAAAACACCAAATTCTATCCTTCAGTCAACATTCCTATCCCTAATGATTTTGTCAGTAGCAAACTATTCTAACAGCCTTCTACCTGGAGGACATTTCTCCTCCTGCACTGCACCTGTAAGTTAACTATCCTCCATAGAATCATAGTATATGATTCCAGCAGAATCAGTTCCTTAGTGACTTCTAAGTCACTTAAAATAGTTGCTTGGCTGACTGTAGAAAGCAGGGTTATTCTGTTTGTATTTTGCAACTAATTGTGGTCCTTGGATCAACAGCCTTCTGACACCGCTAAAAATGCAGTCTCTCAGGCCCTACTCTCACCCTGCTGCATCAGAATCTTCCATTATGAAGACCCCATGGTTATTCTGGTGCCCAGCAACCTTGTACATCCCAGTATAGGGCCACTGGAGGTATTTTCACCTCTGTGTGTGTGAGAGAGAGAGAGAGAGAGGGAGAGGGAGAGAGAAAGAGAAAGAGAGAGAGAAAAAAAAGAAAGAAAAAGAAAGAGAAAGAGAGAGAGAGAGA